TCAAATTCTCCGGCGAAAATTACATGGCGAGTAGTGGTTTCAGCAGATCTATCTCCCTGGTTCTGTTTCCAGCTGTTTGAATCTCTCTCTCTATCTTTTTGCTTTGTTGTGTGTTTTTGAGCTAGGGTTGGGGTGAAATTAGTCTCCTTTTTGGGTTTTGTCTTAAATCCAAAAAAAATCAAGTTTTTAGTAGGGAAAGGGATGGGCAAGAGGCAAATATCACAGTATGAAGTAGGTCCGCCGATAAAACCAAGAGCTGGATTGCGAAGAGAACAAGCTGGAAGAGGTTCATACAGAGGTAGCTAGTTATTTTGTCTGTGATCGAAAGGCAAAACGAAGAAGAAAAAAGGTTTTTTTTTGGGGGATAAGGGGAGAGAAAGTGTTTTACACAAGACTGTTTTTTTTGTTTAATCTTCCATTTGGACACAGATTTTTCGAGGGAAAGCTCTGTTGACTGTCTTGATTTTTAGAGTGGGAGGGGTTTAGGGTTTAAATGGGTTCTACTTGTCAAGAGATATTGAGGAGCCTTTGCTCTAACACGGTTTGGAAGTATGCTGTGTTCTGGAAACTTAATCATCGATCTCGAATGTGAGTCACCTAAAACATTTCCTCTTATAATTGTCTACGGGTTTAAATTGATTTTGTTGTGTGTTTGAGAGATGTATAGCTAGTGTGGAAGAACATATGGAATGTTTATATCGAATGCAGACTTAAGTTAAACAATCGTAGTTTTAAGTTTTGTGTTCGATTAAGCATTATATTTCTTTATTAAGTGTAGAGTTTAATTGAGTATTTAGTTTCTCATTTCTAGAATGTTGAACACTTGTAGGGTACTTACCTTGGAGGATGCTTACTATGACAATCATGGGCAGAATAACTCTTCGGAAGTTAAGGGTTGCAGCGTTATACCAAAAAACACGCATGGAGGACACGACCCCCTGGGTTTAGCTGTGGCGAAGATGTCTTATCATGTCTATTCTCTAGGGGAAGGGTAAGAATTTCCTCGACTTGCATCTTGAACAGGTTAAATGCTAGTCGGTGTCTTTTGCTCAACAGTGTATGACACAGTCTAGCATTTGGCAGTTAGAGTTTGTTGTGTCCTTTTTTCTTCTTTGTTTCTTTGACATTAGCTACATGATGCAAATTGCAAAGCTTTCGTGTTGCCTTGGCACTTGATGCCAGCAGGAGCTTTTACTAATGATCTTTTTTTGTTCATCATTTCTATACTAACAGGATTGTAGGACAAGTTGCAGTTTCTGGAGGACATCAATGGGTATTCCCTGAATATTATGACAACTGTCATTCAGCATTTGAGGTTAGGAACTTCTTATCTTGAGTTGATTTCTGTTATATTTTTTTCATGTTTCTAAACCAGATATCTTTCTCTAATTACAGTTTCAAAACGTTTGGGAGAGTCAAATATCTGCTGGAATTAAGGTAGTTGAGATTTTTCTTTACTGTTTTTTTCTGTTCCATTACATGAATGTCGGGGACTTCCTTAAAGTTTGCCACAGGTAACTTTTTTTTTTTAATAAATATCTGTTCTTCCTTCTCTGCAGACCATTCTTGTAGTAGCTGCTGGTCCCTGTGGAGTTGTGCAGCTAGGCTCTTTGCGTAAAGTAAGTAAGATCTTATAATATTCTGCAGTGTTTGCAGTGCTTAGGAATGAATCTGATCTTATTGTGTGCTTCTGTTGAGCAGGTTGATGAAGATGCGACTTTGGTGAATCATATCCGACATTTGTTTTTGGCACTTAAGGATCCACTGGCAGATCATGCAGCAAATTTAATGCAATGTAATATGAACGATTCATTATGTCTGGTAAAGATCTTCTTCATACAAATATGGATTCATGTTTGCTCGTTATTTGCAAAATGGAGAGAATAGGTTGCTTGCTTAGGTTTCTTACAACAATTCCTCATACCTTAACTGACTTCCTGAGTAGGACCATGATGTGTTGTATAATTTTGTTGCAGCCAAAAATACCTTCTGAATGTTTACGCGTTGAGGCTTTCCCTGATTGCTCTGGAGAAGTTGAGAAAGCAATGGATGTGGAAGAGTCGAATATACTAACTCAGTACAAAACTAGAAGAAGTGATAGCATGCCATACAATACTCCTTCTTCATGTCGTCTTATGGAGAAGGCAGCTCAAGGAATTGGTGGTCATGATGGGCAAGGGAGCTATAGCGGTGTTACGTTTGGCTTTCCAACTGACTTGGTTGATGCCAAACATGAGAATCAAGTGGGTACAAATGTAATAAGTGATGCAACTCATGTGGGGATGACTAGTGGCTGCACAGATCCAAGAGGATTAGATCCTAATTTACATATGTATTTGAAGAATCATGTGCTCAACAACCCAAGCTCATCTGCTTTAGCAACTGAGGGTGAAAGATTGATGACAGGCCAATCATATCCAGGCGTGGACTCAACTTTTCATGCTTCGTCGAGTTCTCACCGAAATGAAGTATTCCAACTATCTGAGAACCAGGGAAATAAGTACCTAAAAGAGTCTGAGCTGCTGGAGAGGAAATTCGAGTCAAGTCGATTTGATGATTTGATCTCATCTGGGTATACTTTTGCTGGCAGCGAGCTGCTAGAGGCATTAGGCTCTGGTTTCATGCAAACGAGCACTGGTCATGAGGGGCTAGTGAAATCTGAACGTGGTTCAGCCATAAGACCAACAGATGACATGAGTCATAGCCAACTCACATTTGACTCTGCACCTGAGAATCTTCTAGATGCTGTGGTTGCTAATGTGTGTCACAGCGATGGCAGTGCTAGGGATGATATATTTTCTAGCAGATCGGTACATTCATTGCTTACCAGCATGGAAATGGCAGAACCCTCAGGTCAAAAGAAGCATATAGCTGTTAACTCAATTGATAATGCTATGAATCAGCTGCCACTAACAGAGGTGGATACCCAACATAATCCATCAGATATCTGTGGAGCATTTTCTTCGATTGGGTTCTCATCCACGTGTCCCAGTTCCTCTAGTGATCAGTTTCAGACATCCCTGGAGATGCCCAAGAAGAACAAAAAGAGAGCTAAACCTGGTGAAAGTTCTCGGCCTCGCCCAAGAGACAGACAACTCATTCAGGATCGGATCAAAGAACTTAGAGAACTTGTGCCTAATGGATCTAAGGTGACTTTTCTCTTCCTAGCTACAAGGTTACTTGCACCATTGTAGAATTTATTGTTTTAAGTTGGTTAAAGTTGTCAATTTGTGGTGGCTAGAAGTTGTAATATGTATTTGCTATTTGCTAATAATTGTGTCATATTTTACAGTGCAGTATTGATTCTTTGCTAGAACGCACGATCAAGCACATGCTGTTTTTGCAGAATGTTACTAAGCATGCCGACAAGCTCAGTAAAAGTGCTACTACAAAGGTAAAAAGCTCGGATTCCTTAATACTAATAATCTTTGTTCTATCCTAAATTTTTTATTACTGCTTCCATAGCTTGTAAATGGACATATTAGGCTGTTTTTTGTTATTGATTGATGTAGCCAATGTTAGTTCAATTTTCTGAATTCTGTAATGGGAAGATAGAACAGGCACATGGTTACATAGAAAAGCTAAACTGAAAATGAGAAGTAAATATTGAAGTTAGCTTATACCTTTGTAATATCAGATGCAACAAAAGGAAACTGGCACGCAAGGTTCAAGCTGCGCAGTGGAGGTTGGAGGCCATCTTCAAGTGTCCTCAATTATCGTAGAGAATCTGAACAAGCATGGGTTGGTGCTTATCGAGGTGTGTAATCTTTTGTTTAGTTTAATCTTTGTTTGAACTTCAGTCCTAAGTTCTGTTGGTGTGTATCCTTTTCCTAGTTTGAAAGAATTTTGGGTTCTGGACAGATGTTATGTGAAGAATGTAGCCATTTTCTCGAGATAGCAAACGTGATAAAGAGCTTGGACCTTGTCATCCTAAGAGGCCTCACCGAGACTCATGGCGAGAAAACATGGATATGCTTTGTAGTTGAGGTAGGAGTCGAATTTACGCAATGAAAGAAAGACCAAACTTTTTCTCTTGAACATTGGATTACTATAAAGATATATCACTTACTAATACCGAGATGATGATATAAATGCAGAGCCAAAACAACAAAGTAATGCAGAGGATGGATATTTTGTGGTCTCTGGTGCAAATATTTCAGCCAAAAGCCAATGGCAAGCAGCGGTAGCAGTAACAGCGTTGATTGCAGACCTTATGTGTTTAGGTTTTCACAGACAAAGAAGATGCTGTGTGCTTGTACAGTATTGTTGTGACTCTGCAATACTTTGTTTTTGATTATTTGGGTTTTAGGCATAAAATGTAGTTCTTATAGGTGTGCCTTTTTTGTGA